CAAGAAATACAAAGTGGCTAAATAATTAAAAACAAAAACAAAACCAGGGGTGCTGGGTGGCTCAGTCTGCTTTCAGCCCAGGTCATGATCCCAGGGTCCTGGGATTGAGCCCCACATCAGGCTCCCTGCTCAGCGGGGAGCCTGCTTCTTCCTCTCCCTCTGCCCCTCCCCCTGCCTGTGTTCCCTCTCTTGTTGTGTCTGTTTCTGTCAAACAAATAAATAAAATCTTTAAAAATAATAATAATAATAAAAAAACTATGCCCATCTATATGCTGCCTACAAGAGACTCACATCATATGTAAGTACACACACAGAGTGGAAGTGAAGGAATGGAAAAAGATACTTCATGAAAAAGTAAACCAAAAGAAAATGTGGTAGCTATACTCATTATCACACAAAATAGGCTTTGAAACAAAGAACGTAATAAAAAAACAAAGATGGGCATTACATAATGACAAAGGGGTCAATCCGGCAAGAAGATACAACATTTGTGAAGGGAGAAATTGACAGTAATACAATAATAGCAGGAGACATTAATACACTGGTTACATCAAAGAATGGATCATCCAAACAGCAAATCAATAAGGGAACACTGGCCTTAAGACACACATTAGACCAGATGAGCTATATATATAACAAACATTCCATCCCCAAACAGTAGAATACACATTCTTTCCAAGTGTACATGAAACAATCTCCAGGATATTTCATATGTTAGGCTACAAAACAAGTCTCAATATATTCAAGAAAATGGAAATCACATCAAACATCTTTTCCAACAAAAATTGTACAAAACTGGATGTCAATTACAAGAAAACTGGAAAAATCACAAACAGATGGAGATTAGACAACATACTACTGAACAACCAATGGCTCAATGAAATAAAAAGAAATTCAAAAAATACCTTGAGACAAATGAAAATATAACACACCAAAATCTATAGGATGTAGCAATATAGCTCTAAACTTTATAGTGATATAAACCTACCACATGAAACATGAAAAATATCAAGTAGAGTAACTTTGCACCTAAAAAAATGTAAAAAAAAAAAAAAATGAAGCCCCAATATTGTAGAAGGGAGGAAATAATAAATGTCAGAGCACATATAAGTGAAATAGGGGCTCAAAAGGCAATAGAAAAGATCAGTGAAACTAAGAGTTGGTTTTTTAAAAACAGAAACAAACTTGACAAACCTTTAGCTGGATTTACAAGGGAAAAAGAGTTCTCAAATAAATAAAATCAAAAATAAAAGAAGATACAACTCAAACCAAAGGAACATACAAATGATCATAAGAGATTACTAAAATAATGTTATGTCAACAAATTCAACAACTTAGAAGAAATGGATAAATTCCTAAAAATTTATAATCTTCCAAGACTGAATCATGAAGAAATAGAAAAACTAAATAGAGTGATTACTCATAAGGAGACTGAATGAGTAATCAAAAAACTCCCAAAAAATAAAAGTCCAAGATCAGATAGTTTCTCACATGAATTCTACCAAGTATTCAAAGAGGATTTAATATCAATCCTCCTTGAACTCTCCAAAAAACTGAAAAGGAGGGAATGTTCCCAAACTCACTGTATAAGGTCAACATTACCCTGATACCAACACCAGGCAAAAATAACACAAAAAAGAAAATTACAAGCCAAGTTCCCTCATAAAGATGCAAAAATCTTCAATAAAATATAAGCAAATCAAATTTAACAGTACATTAAGAGGACAATCAACCATAATCAAGTGGGATTTATTCTAGGGATGCAAGGATGGTTTTAGTATCTGCAAATCAATTAATGTGACATACCACATTGACAAAATGAAACATAAAAATTATATGATCATCTCAATAGATGCAGAAAAACCATCGGATAAAATTGAACATTCATTTATGACCAAAACTCTCAACAAAGTGGGTATAGACAGAATGTACCTCAATGTAATGAAGGCAATATATAACAAGTACACAGTTAATATCATACTCAACAGTAAAAAGCTGAAAGCCTTTCCTTTAAGATCAGGATGAAGACAAGTATGCCCACTCTCACCATTTTTATTCAAAATCATACTTTAAGTCCTAGCCAGAACAAGCAGGTAGGAAAAAGAAATAAGAGACATTCAAGTTGGAAAGGACGAAGTAAAACTGTCACTATTTGTAAATGACATGGTTTTCTATATATAGAGAGAAAACCCTAAAGATGCCACAAAAAACAAAAACAAAAACCTGTTAGATAAAATCAGCAAAGTTGCAGGATACCAAATCAATATACAAAAGTCTGTTGTGTTTCTATACTAACAGTGAACTATCAGAAAGAGAAATAAAGAAAACAATCCCATTTATAATTGCATCAAAAGAATAAAATACCTTGAAAAAAATTTAACCCAGAAAGTATAAGACCTATGTATTAAAAACCAGAAGACACTGATGAAAGAAACTGAAGATGACACTATAAATGGAAAGATAATCTGGTCTTATGAATTAAAAGACCACGTTAAAATATCTATTTTACCCATTTTATCTATAGATTCAAAATAATCCATATCAATGTTCTAATGTCATTTTTTCACAGAATTAGGACAAATAATTCTAAAATTTGTATGGAACACAAACAATCCCATATAGCCAAAGGAATCTTGAGAAAGAACAGCAAAGCTAAAGGCATCATGCTCCTGATTTCAAACTATATTACCAAGATATAGTAACCAAAACAGTATGCTACTGGCACAAAAACAGACACAAAAATCAGTGGGATGGAACAAAGAGACCACACATACACAGTCAATTAATTTATGAGAAAGGAGGCAAGATTTTGGATAAAGGACATTCTATTTAATAAATGGTGCTGGGAAAACTGGACAGTCATAAGCAAAAGAATGGAACTAGATCACTATTTTATACCACACACAAAAATTAACTCAAAATCGGTTAAAGACTTGAAGGTAAGAGCAGAAACTATAAAACTCCTAAAAGAAAATATATGCAGGTCTTGGAGACAATTTTTGGGTCTGACTTTAGAGTCAATGGCTATAAAAGCAAAAAAAAAAAAAAAAAAAAAAGAAAGAAAAAAAAAGGAAATGAGACTACATCAAACGAAAAAGCAAAGTGAAAGAAACCATCAATAAAATTAAAAGGTAATATATTGAATAAAAGATATTTACAAATCATGTATCAAATAAGGATTTAATATACAAAATACATAAAGAACTCATACAACTCAATAACAAAAAAATAAACAATGATTTAAAAAATGGGGTGAAGGTCTGAATAGACATCTTTCCAAAGAACACAAACAGACTGCCAATAGGCACATGAAAAGATGCTCAACATCACTACTCATTAGGGAAATGCAAATCAAAAGCACAATGAGTTATCACCTCACTCCGGTCATAATGGTTATTGCGAAAAGAACAAGAAATAATGAGTATAGGCAAGGATGTGGAAAAAGGATGTGTATCCTTGCACACTATTGCTAGAAATGTAAACTGGTGCAGCCACTGTAGAAAACAGTTTGGAAGTTCTTAAAAAATTAAAACTAGAACTGCCATGTGATCCAGCAACTCCATCTTTGGGTATATGTGTGAAGAACATAAGAACACTAATTTGAAAAGATACATGCACCTCTATGTCCATTGTGCCATAATTTACAACAGCCAAGATATGGAAATGAGCCAAGTGTCCATCAGTGGATGAATGGATAAAGAGGTATTGTACACACACAAACACACACACACAGTGGAATACTACTCAGCCATAAAAAGAACAAAATCTCTCCATCTGTGACAACATAAATGGACCCTGAGGGCACTTATGCTAAGTGAAATAAGTCAGAGCAAGACAAACACCATATGATTTGACTTACATATGGAATTTAAAAAACAAAACAAAGACAAAACAAAATAAAACTCATAGATACAGAGAACAGATTAGATTGATGGTTGCTGGAGGGGAAGAGGTTGGGGGATGGGTGGAATGGGTGAAGTGATCAAGAGGTACATACTTCCACTTAACAACATAAATAAGTCAAGAGCATATAACATATAATGTACAGCATGGTGACTATAGTCAATATTGTATTGCAAATTTGAAAGATCTTAAGAAAGTAAATCTTAAAAGTTCCCATCTCTCACACACACACACACACACACACACACACACACACACACACACCTGTAACTTTGTATAGTTGGTAATGACAAATGCTAACTAGAGTTACTATAATAATATTTCACAATGTACACAAATGTCAAATCATTATGCTGTGCACCTGAAATTAATATACTGTATGTAAATAATAATTCAACAAAACAAAAACAAAAGAGAAAATAGCAGGTGTTGGGGAGGATGTAGGGAAATTAGAACCTTGTACATTGCTGCTGGGAAAGTAAAATGGTGACACCATGTGAAAAATATTATGGCAGTCCCTCAAAAAACTTAAACATAGAATTACCATATTACTCAGCAATTCAAATAAAATACAGCAACTCAAACAGATACTTGTATACCCATGTTTCTAACAGCACTGTCCACAATAGCCAAAAGGTAGAAGCAGCCCAGCTGTTCATCTATAGATGAACAAATCAACAAAATGTGGTGTGTACATATAATGAAGTTCTATTCAGCCTTAAAAAAGAAAGGAATTCTGGCACTTGCGACAGCATGGATGAACCCCCAAAACCTGCTAAGGGAAATAAGCTAGTCACAAAAGAACAAGTATTATATGATTCTACTTACATGAGGTACACATTCAAATTCATGCAGGCAGAAAATACAATGATTGTTGACAGAGACTCAGGGGAGGAGAAAGGAAAGTCATTCTATGGGGCACAGAGTTTCAATTTGGGAAGATAGAAAAGTTCTAGAGATGCTGCTGCTGATGGTGGCACAAAACAAGGCTAATGTGCTTAATGACACAGAACTGTACACTTGAAGATACTTAAAATGGTAAACTTTATGTTGTATTTTACAACATGAGAAAAAATTGGGGAAAAAACATAGCTTACCAGTTCCTTAGCCAAGTAATCTGCCAGAGTATTGAGAAGCTTGTAATATACTTCAAACCATGGCAGGTAACTGTAAAAAAACAAAAAACAAAAACAAAAACAAACAAAAAAACCAAAAACCTTTAAAAATGTATATGGATATATTATTTAGAATCAAGAAAAGAGATGAAAACATTAAATTTTTATTATTTCAAACAGCTTAATCCTAGATGGCAGAAAAGAACTATACCAATGCTCTCCTTACTATTATAGTAAAATTTTAAATATTATCTATTACTAGTTTTCATAACATAATAATGACCCAAAGTCCTATTATTAAAATTATGCATTACACACTTCTATTTTTTCTGCAATAAAATTATTTAATCCTGTATCATGGTATGCATGGTACGAGTGTACTAAAAGCACTCATAGAATAAAAGTTAACCACTGTAATAAAATATAATACAAAATAAAAACTAATCTTAAGAAGCTTTCAAAATACACAATCATTTCTTATTAATGATTACTGAAGAGAATATATAATACAATAGAAATATGTGCCTAATTAATCAATTATTTTGAAACTGATGTTCAAGTAGGATGATAAATTTCAAAGTAAACATCAATATACACAACAGAAAGCCCATTTAAAAAATTGTAAAATTATATATAACTGAAAATTCATTTTGATTCACTTTACTAGATGCAAATATAACTAATTCTTATGAAAGCAAAATACTGTCTAAAATTCAATTAAACCCCCAAAATCTGTACTCCTTATTAACAAATTAAGATATTGGTATATTTAAAATCTATCCAAAGGTTTAATTGTTTATTAAAATGTATTCTTTTTGGGTGCCTGGGTGGCTCAGTGGGTTAAGCCTCCACCTTCAGCTCAGGTCATGATCTCAGGATCCTGGGATAAAGTCCCACATCAGGCTCTCTGCTCAGCAGGAAACCTGCTTCCCCCCTTCTCTCTCTCTGCCTGCCTCTCTGCCTCCTTGTGATCCCTCTCTGTCAAATAAATAAAATCTTTAAAAAAAAAAGTATTCTTTTTTTTTCAAAGAATTATTATAACAGATTACTTTCTAAGAGAAAACTGTGTGATGCTTTTACTACATAACTGTATTCTGACAAGAGTACATGTATATAACAGATTTAAAATTTAAAAATCAATGTATAGAGCTGAGAAAAACAACATTCTATCTGCATTTTTCACATAATGTCTATTTATTAATAGCTATGAAAGATGCTTTGGATTCAAGAGTAACCTAAAGTCACAACAGAAGTACATTTCGGGGGCAAGTGGGTGGCTCAGTGGGTTAAACCTCTGCCTTCGGCTCAGATCATGATCTCAGGGTTCTGGGATCGAGCCCTGCATCAGGATCTCTGCTCAGTGGGGAGCCTGCTTCCCCCCTCACTCTGCCTGCCTCTCTGCCTACTTGTGATCTCTTTCTCTGTGTCAAATAAATAAATAAAATCTTAAAAAAAAAAAAAAAAGTACAGTTGGGTAAAGTGCAGTATCTTTTTTCAGCAGAATTGTTATAGAGTTTTTTAGTAATTATAAATACTAAGTGATGATATAAAAGATACCTATGATATTTTAAAATATCTACCAACTTCTGGTTAAATCTAGCATATTGAAGACATGCATTTATCTCTATGCCCTTTGGAAATGGCACTAAAATGACAGTAAATGAATAAAAAGGGTATAAATTAATGAGGACAAGAGAAATGGAGAAAAAAGCAATAAAGAGCAACACAGGTGAATGGTTTCATAATGATGAAAAGGAAACAATGGTAACTAACCAGCAAAAGACAGAACACCAAAACCTAGGTGCTAATAGAAGGGAAAATGACCACTAGCCAGTATATTTGCACCTCTCCTCTCCCCCGCCCCCAAAGAATCCTAAAACACTGATCTGCGAATCTCTAAAAGGAAAAAACAGACAAATAAAAAGACCCCTCAGATGTCCTATTTTCTTGGAATGAAATCCACCATTGCACATAAAAAGTTTCTAATTCAAGTTAATGCCTCTATCTCAAATACATATGAAGAGTCCAACCACCAAATATTTGGGGAAATATATACATGAATACAAACAAAAAAGGAACTCCAAGTAAACACAGACTATAAAAGCAACAGATGAGAACTCTACAAAGTTATCATAAAAATTCTTAGGAGGTGAATAAAGAAGGGGATGCTACTAAACAAAATGAAATCTGAAAAAAAAAAAGAGGTGAAAAAATTTTAGACAAGAAAGAACTTTTAGACATTCAAAATATAAAAGTTGAAAAAATTAAAATTGGGGCACCTCTAAGGCTCAGTGGGTTAAGCCTCTGCCTTCAGCTCAGGTCATGATCTTAGGGTCCTGGGATGGAGCCCCACATTGGGCTCTCTGCTCAGCAGGGATCCTGCTTCCCCCTTTGCCTGCCTTTCTGCCTACTTGTGATCTCTCTCTCTGTCAAATAAATAAATAAAATCTTTTTAAAAAAAGAAAAAATTAAAATTGATAGATTAGGAACTAAATCAAGAATATCTCCTAGCAACTAGAATAAAGGGATAAACCAATGGATAACAGAAGAATAAATGTTAAAATATCAGGGCATCAATCTCAACAATTACGCAGCTGACTAACAGTAATAGTTCCAAAAAAGAAAGAAAAGTGGGAAAACAGGAATGAAAATTTCTTCTTTAAACTTGCGGGAAAAATTCCTAGAACTTCAGCTATGAGTGTCCACATTGAGAGTGCCACTGGGTAAACTGTAAAATAAATGAATATCACAGTGAAATTCCAGAATAGGAGACAGAAAAGCACCAAGAATTTCCAAAGAGACAAAACAGGTAACATACAAAGGAATTAAGTTAAAAATGCCACCGAACCTCTCACCAGCAATCCCAGACAGTGAGAAGATTACGCCTTCAAAATGCAGAGATTAAATCGTTTTGCAACCTATAATTCTCTGCCCCGAGAAACAACCAATCAGGTGTGGGGCTAGGTTAACAACATCTTCAGTCACGCTAGGATTCAAAAATCTACCACTTTTGTACTGTTTTGGGGAAGCTATTAAAGGTTGGCTTTGACAAAATGAGAGAGTGAAACAAAAAGGAGGGACACTAAGATATAGAAGACAAATCTAATCCTATGAAAGAACAATTAAATCTAAGAATAAACTGTACAAAGGCCTAAACAGCAACCAGTCCATACCCTTTGGGAAACCTAAAAATCAGATCAGTATTGGTATTCTCAACTTTCATATTTAAGTGACGCAACAACTCTTTAACTCTAGAGTTTAGACAGCTATTCTGCTATACCTCTCACAAAAAAAGAAAAAGATTATTAACACTATTTTTAAATTTTCAACTCAATACTACGCAAATTACCGCATCTTATTTTCTATGCTCATTATAACTCAATGAAATGATCTTCATGGAGAATGTCCTTCTACTAAGACACAATACAGCTCCTTGGACAGAGTGCCACTTTTTCATTTACAAGCATTTCATATTCATATTTCAACTTTTAATGACCTGAAGAAAGTGTTACTTCAGGAAAACTTCAGTATGTCATGTAGTTCAGATCTCTGTGTTCACATAAAATGAGATCTAATCTATTCATCTAATCTATTCAAGGAGCATAATGGTCTGTTTCTGTCTTCCTCTCAAGAATTTCTAGATAACGCAAAATTTATTGATTTTAGATGGCTGCATGTCTGCTAATCCTTACATTGTCATTTCCATCTTACTCAAATAATGTGAAGCCTTTTTAACCATAAATCTTCTTTCTTGGACCACTATAAAGAAATTATAATAAATTATCTCGTAAGTTATTACAAAGTGAGGATCTTCTTCTACACAAAATACCTTAACACTTTTTTGCCTTGCATGCTTTTCTTTTTTTAAGTTTTTATTTTAATTCCAGTTAGTTAACATACAGTGTTATATTAGCTTCAGGTGCATAATAAAGTCAAGAGTTCTATACATCACCTGGTGCTTCTCACAAAGACACTCCTTAATCCCCATTACAATTTAATCCAATCCCCAACAATCCTTCCCTCTGGTAACATCAGATTTCTCTCTGTAATTAAGAGTCTGTTTTTTTTTTTTTTGTCTTTCCTTCTCTCCCTCTTTCTCTCTCTCTCATTTTTTACCCCTTTACTGTTTGTTTTGTTTCTTATTTCCACATATGAGTGAAATCATATGACATTTGTCTCTGGCTTATCTCACTTAGCATTATACTCTCTACCTCCATCCATGTTGCTGCAAATGACAAGAGTTCACTCTTTTTATGGCTGAATTATATATGTGTGTGTATGTATACAGAGAGAGAGAGAGAGAGAGATACAATTATGTGTGTGTGTGTGTGTGTCTATATATACACACACACACACATACCCCACATCTTTATCCATTCATCTATCGATGGATGGACACTTACGCTGCTTCCATATCCTGGCTATTGTAAATAATACTGCTATAAACCTAGAAGTGTGTATATCCTTTGAATTAGTGTTCTTGTATTCTTTGGATAAATACCCAGTAGTGCAACTGCTAGATCATAGAATAGTTCTATTTTTAACTTTTTGAGGACTCTCCATACTGTTTTCCACAGTGCTATACAATAGTTTGCATTCCTACTAACAGCACAAATACTCTTCAGTGTTCTCGTTTTCTCATCTTTACATTATTACTTTTTATTAGTTATCTTCCCCTCTCAATTTTCTTTCAAATTGTGAAGATTAACTGAAACAATTTTTCATAAAAGCTAACTCATAAAATTACAACTTATCTGTAAGATTATTTAACTGTTTTTGAAAATAAAACAAACTGAATTAAATAATTAATATTTAGGTTACTACTCAAAATTTAACAGTGTGAGGTATTTTGCTACCTATATAATTACTGCTCTTTTTTATAATCTCCAAGAATACCAACTCTGGCTGAATTTCATCCTGGCACCAGACTATGTTTGCTCTTGATACAAGATATGCTAGATTTTGTTCTCACATTCATTCTCTTAGTCATCAAATTCAACACTCAACTCTACTATGTTTATAGCACTGCTAGACACTGTAATATTTTATAAC